AAGATGTATTCAATTCTTATAGTTGTAGGAGGAGGAGGAGAAATTATTCAAGCTCTAAACCTTAAATCTAATTGAAGGGTTGTCACATTAACACAATCAGAATCTTATCTATTGGAGTTAACCTAGTGTTGGAGGGGAAAAGGCCAACCTAAAGATGTAATCATTTCCCATCATGGTCATACTACATAAAAGGGAAAATATCAAATCTTGAAGGTTCCCAAACAATCAACAAGATTTGACAACATAAATATATGGCATAGATTAACAAAACCATGCAACTTAACTTCTCACTTCAATTCCAAATAAGCAAAGGGATCTACTCCTTTCTTATTGGGTATATTTTTCATGTTTTATCCGTATAAGGATGAGCTTGGAAATAGACATTGATACCCATCCAATCTCTCCTCACCAAGCACAATAAGCAATTTGGTAGCACCACTTTCTCTATCATGATTAATGTACCTAGCCGTATGACCTATACTACTGTGGATGATTGTGTGAGTGGGTGTGGGGGGGGATTAAATAATACACAGATAACTATGACTCTATGAGGCTTATATACAAAGCATGGAGAATGCAAGCTCTCCAGAAACCTCTATCCTTGTTTACAGAATATCAGTAGAAGTTGTGTTTGCTCAAGCAATGATTGATAACCCTTAGCCAAATGCTCCTCCAACTGATTAAAAACTTGACCATCTTAGGAAAGGTGATGGATACAGGGAAAACAAATTGCTTCACTTGGAATTGGTATTCTTCTCCTTCCTATCTATGTTAGGGGTCGTTTGGTACAAACATTGATAACGCAGGGATTATTTTTTGTCAAGTGTTTGGTTCATTGCATCCCACTTAATCTTGTGTTTGATTTAAAACTCTACAAAAAATTTCTTTCCTATTATACCCTTGTGTTATTATGAAATTGTTTATTTCATGTACTTGAGTCAAGGTAGATAACCGCTGGATAATATTATTATTTTTTGTAGGATTTTCTTTTAACTAGTTAAGTTAAATATATATATATATTTGAGGTATGATGTACCACTAAGGAGATCCTTGATGGCATGGTGTATTTCTAATTTTTTGTTGGTCAAATATATCTTAAACTTAACATAGATTTAAGAATACTTATATTGTTCAATAGCTAAAACTTATTAAAAAAAATAGGTCAAGTGGTTAGTCGACAAAATATATTGAATAAAAAAAAGAAGAAAAAAATACTAGTGAAATCATTAAATTACACTAAACGAATTTGGAGAATTAAAAAGAACATTTACAATTATATCAATATAAATAAAAAGAAAATCAAATCACAAAAGAAATTTAGGAAAATGAATAAAGATTGCAAATTTAGGAAAATTACAAAACTATCCCTTTATTCATTTTCCTAAATTTCTTTTGTAATTTGATTTTCTTTTTATTTATATTGATATAATTATAAATGTTCTTTTTAATTCTCCAAATTCATTTAGTGTAATTTAATGATTTCACTAATATTTTTTTCTCCTTTTTTTTTATTCAATATAGTTCGTTGACTAACCACTTGAACTATTTTTTTTAATAAGCTTTAGCTATTGAACAATATAAGTAGTCTTAAATCTATGTAAGTTTAAGATATATTTAACCAACAAAAATTAGAAATACACCATGTCATCAAGGATCTCCTTAGTGGTACATCATACCTCATATATATATGACTTAACTAGTTAAATGAAATAGAAAATCCTACCAAAAAAATAATATTATCCGGCGGTTATCTACCTTGACTCAATTACATGAAATAAACAATCTCATAATAACACAAGGGTATAATAGGAAAGATTTTTTTTGTAGAGTTTTAAATCAAACACAAGATTAAGTGGGAAACAATGAACCAAACACTTGACAAAAAATAATCCCTGCATTACTAATCCCTGTGTTACTAATCCCTAGTAATCCCTGCGTTATCAATGTTTGTACCAACTACCAAACGACCCCTTAGGGGTAGGTTTAACAAACCTTGGATTAGTTATCCCTCCATTTCCTAGGGATAAAATAAGACCACATATGGTGTATAATCCATGGATTAAATAAAATAAAGTAACCAAACAATATATTAGATGAACTAAATTTTAATCCATGGACTATTCTATTTAATACCGCCTACCAAACGAGTCCTTATAGTTTTTATGGACCAAGGGCGATACATTAAAATCAACCCCAAACCAATAAAGTTACCAGCACTAGTCATTTTCGAGGAACAAGCCTTACACAATTGAAGACACTGGTACCAGAGGGCAAGAAAGTTTTGTCGATGTCCCTAAAACCTTCGTCATTCTATTTGAGACAGAAGGAAAAATATTTATACTTGGCTTGAATTTATAAGCACTTACTTCCCCACCACCAGTGGAGGAGCATGAGTTCATTATAGGCAGGCTTTCAAGTAAGGTGCATAGTGGGGAGCAAAAAACAAAAGCTAACTAGATAGGCAAGTTGAGTCATGTTGTTCCCTTACATCCACATACAACAAAGACAGTTTGCAGTGGTTTTAAGGAGAACATTGATCTGGCTCACATAAAAAGGTTGCATAAGTTGAAGGACCACCATGCAACCCATTGAATGAAGCCTCATGGACTGTCTCCCTCCTCTTTACAAGTTACCTTTTAACAGGACTAAATTAATTAAGGTGTTTGGGAACAGAGTAAGGCAAGAGTGGAGAGATAAATAACAGCATTATCTTTTGTATTTTGGATTGACAAAGTACTCTATTTTCACAAGTTTGACCTGGTATTTCAAGCAAATCTCCGCTTTAACGTAATGAACCCTCAGAAACTCTACTTTGTTAATTACTGACAGAGAAGGAATATAGGATTATGACATGACAGCAACTTTTACATCAGCAATGTATTATGCCAAAATAAAATGAATAAATTCTACACTAATAAAATCAACAAAATCTGGTTGCCAAAGAAGAAAATTAGAATGAACCAGACGGGACATCTGCCTCCACAATCAATCCCTATTCCCTACTGAGAATGGAAAACTTTCTATATAACTTTCACCTCACGAGACACAGTATCTAGACATGAAGCATCTATCGATTAGGAAGTGGGGATATCCTATCAATTTCCAAAGTTTTCTTCGACTGCAACCTGAACTGACTTCAACTTACTTTATAGAACTCTTTTTGATAGACGGTATGTATGAATAGGACAAATTTTAAAGAGGTCTTTCATAAATGTAAACTGTACATAGTTTAGTTCTAATTTGGATGTACAACAGATGAATCAGTAAAAATTTATAAGGAAGTCATTAAGAAGAATTTAATTGGTGAATTTGCTGCAAAGGAATTGCTTTTGATTTGTCAGATATGAAAGCAAGTTTTGTAGATGCAGAGGTTTAAACTAATGCTTCCAATTACAGATGCACGAGCTGTCACTGAGTTATAACACAAAAAGTTTCCTTTTTCCATTTACAAGCAAAACATGAAAACCGTTTGACCCAACATGCAGGTTTCTCAACATATCTCTGGCCAAACCACACTAGGAGGTGGGGATATTTGTCAATGAAGAGCTCAAAGTTTTCTGTAATCAATACATAATTAAAAAATGGAAAATATTTTCAACCTGTTCCTTAGTAGTTGATGCTTGTTATCAAGATAATGAACAAAATTTGCGAACAAAGAGGACTTTGTTACGCCAAATACAGAAATGTTTTTTCATAAATATCCAAAAAGGAAATGTAGCTAGCATATTAGTGCACAATTGCCTTTCTTAAAATACAGGTTGCTCCTACAGACAAGAAACCAGTTCGTCAGCATTTGCTACTCTGAACCCATATATGACCAGAATCACCATGCTTTATTTCAACTCACCATCATCTCCCTCCACCATCTCTCACAAAACAGCACTGGACGATGGCTGTTGCTACAGTTTCAGAACCCCTATTCACTGGAAATAGGCCACTGATGCTGTCCCTCTCCCAGGAAACCTCTTAGTGTTTATTTTCTTACAAAAGTTACCTCTAGAACATCAAAAACACAAAACAGTTTAAAATGACCTTCCCCAAAACACTCCTTAGAACTCACGATACAATGGTACAGCTGTACAAGCCTACAGAACATATCCCGTTGGAGTAAGCTCATGACCTTACTTAAATACCTCTTGCAAAATAGTTCATTTTGGCAGCAATATTTTAATCCCAATTGAACTAGGACTATATCTTAAAAGTAACTTGCAACTTGAACAAACAACAAAGTGTATAAAATCTGATGAATATGAAAGCCCTAAATAACTCATGAATGTGGCAGATGAATACAAAAGCCAAGAACTGATATTGCTAAGGCAATGACGAGAAGTCTCTTAAGCAGAACAATGAGTAACACCATTCCCCCACATCAGCCAAAGCTCTTCCCTTTCACTTTCAACTTTCAAGAATGGCAAAACTGAACAAAAACAAACGCAAAAACTTCTAACGACATCCTGGGAATTCCATCTATGTTGTTGTCCAGTAGGGTATTGAACACATGTATCACCATAACTTTCTCCACTACTAGTTTAGCCAATAGATTTCAGCATTTCTCTCTACTTAAATAAATGTCAACAGTACTAGTCTACGCCCGTGAATTTCAGTCATAAGCAAAAAAGTAGATTCTGGCACAAACAAAAAAAGGCCATTATTCAACAATTGAATCTGCTCTCATAAGCAAAGGCATTTCAAAGTAACGCCTTTTTAGTTCTCCCAGGCAACTTTATAAATAAAACATGCAGCTTAATGAACGCGTTTTAACATTGATTTTACATGGAATACATGTGAGTAAAACATTTCCTGCCAAAAATATCTGAAATTTGCAAACGATATCCTTCTCTGACAAAAACTCGTATATCATATTATTTGCAAATTGCATAGCCTCAAAAGCAAATATATGAGCGCAGACAAAAAATGAGTCAGCACAAATCATTACACATGATTAAAACATTTCGTAGCAAAAAAGACCTTGAATTTGCAAAGAACAAAATCTTCTTAAAGAATTGAAATTGTAAACGGTATGAGAACTCACAGGAGAAATCACTTGGCAACCATCCTAGCAATGAATTCCTCGTACTTAATCTTTCCATCTGATCCAACATCAACTTCTCGGATCCACTCATCGAACTCCGAAGCCTCGAGCTTTTCACCTATACTGGTGAGGATATGCTTGAGATCCGCAACAACAACATAACCGGTACAATCCTTATCGAGGACCTTAAAGGCATCACGGAGCTGGCGATCAAAGGGCTCAGGCTTGAGGTGTTTGGACATAAGCTCAAGGAAACGGTTGAAATCGAAAGGCGCATTGAGTTTCTCCTCGGCGATTATGGATTTGAGTTGTGCTTGGGTCGGGTTGCCGCCGAGTGAACGCATAAGGATACCTAGCTCCGATGGGGCGATCTTACCGTCACCGTCGGTATCGAAGAGAGTGAAGGCCTCCTTCATGGAGGATATTTGATCGTTGCTCAGATCTTTCCCCATTTGCTCCGATGATTTCTCTCTCTAGCTGCTTTCTCGTTCAGCCGTGAAATTTCTCTCTCTGTAGATTTTGGGATTCAATTTTTTGGTTAAAATGAAGCTGGAGGGGAGTTTCACCATTTTCAAGATGCATTCGGGTTTTTTTGGTTTGGCCCGTGTGTTAATGTCAGCCCATCTCAAAACTAGGCCCCGATAGAAGGCCCATTGGGAATATAGCATAAGTTGAAATGTTGAATTTAAATGACATAACAAATTATCGAAATATCGTAAGACATCGTATTGATAAATATAGAGTATATTTTTATGTTTTTCATATAAATAAATATTTGTGAATTGTGATTATAAACTTTCAAATAACTATAAATTTATAAAGATCCACTAGTTAACAATAGTAGTAACTAGTTATGTCCCTTTCACATGATGTGAACAACCTCTTCACGTCAAACATTTTATTTTTTTTGCAAAATTTAAATTATGAATCTTTTTTTTATTATAAAATATAAACTTATGGATCAAATTTTACATTTTAAAAAATAGAAATCATGACATAGAATCCCAAATTAAGTTTCTTAGAGAATTTAAAATCGTAATCTCAAATCACATATTTAAACGTTTATTTGAAATCTCAAGCATATATCTAAACGCAAGCTTTAACAAGTACTTAACTTGAAGGGCTAAGTCAGCAGCCTGAATGGGTCTAGGAAAATTGATTCCATATTGCAAAGCCCATTTCTTTTGTGCTAAATTGCATTGTTTTACAAGAACCCATCCGAAGAGAAGAAGGGGCAAAAAATAAGTAAAATTACATAAATTTCATAGTGTTAAGAGCTAATTACATTTTGTTTTTATTTTTTTTCTAAATTATAAAAATCTCTTAAATTTATAGGATCTTGGATGCATCTCAAGAAACTCGCGGATACATAACTCACGGATTGCGAATGATACATTACTTAATTGGAGGGATGCATCCAAGAGGGGATAATGATGTATCCGAGAGGAGATCTTTGTAATTTTTTTAAATAGTAGGAAACTTTAGAGATTATGGTAAAATAAGATGTGTATTTATGTAATTTTTTCAAAAACAAAAAAAAAGAACAGAGTAAAAAAAAGGATTCTATGTTATAAATATATTTTATATATTATTGTGAAATGTTTATTTATTTTTGGAGATAGTGAAGTTTTATCAATAAATTCATATTAAATTTTGGATTAAATTTTAAATTCATGGCGTGTTGATTAAGTTAGATTATTGGTTGATAAGGTTGAATTAATATTTAACTTAAAATTATATGACTCAAATAAAATCCAAATTATATTTGGGTTAGTCTGTTTAGTTGACAGGACAGTTCAACTCGTGCTCTTTAAACCTAAGGTTCTCTAAAATTACTTGGAGACTAAAACACGAGTTTTTGGCTAAAATCATCCCTCAACTATATATGACTCAAATATAATGTACATCCTTATATTATCTAAGTGAGCAAAAAACATCCTTATACTATATAAAAAAAAAAAACAAGAATCATCCTTCAGTCTATATTTGTTAAGAAACTGATTGAACCAATATATATTTTTTAATTTGGTCATGTCTTAGCCACGACTAGAAGATCAAAGTTACCTAAAAAGAATAAGGATATGGATAGAAAATGAATATTTTATTCTCATAATTTAAATTTTGTGTGTTTATATATTTTTTGCATCATCAAGTAAATTGACTTGCAACAATACATAAGTTTTGAAATATTTATATAGTAGGTTCCGATGGTTAGAAAGATTATGTAAAAAATTCATTTTAAAAATATTACGTGCAAATATGTAGAGATTTTCCTTAATAGAAAATATATATAGTACGTATATATGATATATACAATGCAATTCACATTTTATACAATATACAGAAATACTGAAAATTAGTACATAGGCGTTTTGTAGTGAAAAAAAAATTACTTTATTTGAAATTTTTGTATTTGGAGTTGTATTTGGCCATATTTTTTACAAAGAATATTTAGAATTTGAATATATTTTGTCTGAATATGATTTAAACCCTCAATTTCTAAAAATTAAAAAAATCACTCAACTTGAATAGCTTAACCATGTGTACATATATTTATTTGACTTGACACATTTTATATTGGTGGCTTGAGTTTCTTAAAAAAATAGATAGAAGGTTGAATGTTGGCAACTTTTTGGATAGTGCAAGAATGTTTTTTTATTCATTTATATAACACAAGGATGTATTTTAGGTTTTAGGTCATACTTCAGGGATGATTTTAGCTAAAAACTCTTCTCACCCCCAAAACCCTAGATTACGCCCATATAAAGGACCTTCATAAGACTAGAAAGATACTGAAATATATAGAGAATCTCTCCCCTCTTTAGTGGTGATTAACAAGCCTTCCACACCCACAAACAAAACAAAGTTCTTGAGTTGTCGATCACTATTTTTTCTTTTTTCATTGCCATTTCTTAGGAACGAAGCTTAATGCTTACAATTTTCTTTAATAAAAGTTTACGGACAGTAACTTCCAAACAAACTTAGTTTTTCACTCATAAATAGAGAAATTTTTATTCATCCATCAAAGAAATATAAGAATTTTCTTATCTTCTCTGTATTTATCTTTACAATATTCTTCTTCTAACTTCATTATTTTTAACAGTATATAGTAGTAGTAATAATAATAATAATTAGAAGCAAAGTGACATGAGAAGGTGAAGACTGAGGAGAGAGACTTTTATAGTGGAGATGCAGTGCAAAAAATAAGGTCCATAAGGTATGCAAATATTGTAAATGCAAAAAATTAAAGACAACCATAAAGCAAAGCCTTTTATTTTTATTTTATTTTAAAAAATTTCACTCTCATGTAATATCATAAAGGGTTTTTATACCCAATAATGCTAAAAAAGCAAGATGCTTTTCTAGGCTAACTCCTAGCTAACAGCAAAATGAAAAGGTAGAAGAAAAATACTCATGATTGAGGAATTGCAACAAGCAAGAAATTTTTATATGGCATTAAGAATGGTCCAGGGGTCAATCAAATAGGTATAATTATATGAGACCAACGTTCAAATTTAATAAAATGCCAACTCCCAAAGTTGTTAAGAAAAAGATATACGTACCTATTAAAACGAACTAAAAAGGAAAGATATGACAAACAAATTAAAACGAAAACGAAGGAAGTATGTGTTTTTTGGGATTTGATGGAGACAGAGGCGGATCTAGGATTTCGAGTCACTGGGTGCCAAGCAGAGACGGACCCACATGATTTGATAGGGGTGCACCCGTTAACTTCGAAAAAATGTGCTTGAGAAACGTATAATCAACAGTGCACCTATAAGAAGCGTAGGGGTGCCCTTGTGTAGTTGGTACAAGCCAGAGGAACCACTCGCGAGAATACAATTTAAATCTACCTAGAAGCCTATTTCATTATTTTTTTATTTTAAGTTTAGCTTAGAGCTCATATTTGAGTCATTAGTGACCAAGCAAATACTACATTATCCGTTAATTGTAGTAAAAGTTTCGCTAACTACCTAAATCAAGATAGTATTGATGCACCGAAATCTTCAAATTTTGGATTAGCCTCTAATGCCCAGAAGACTCAGATTAAATCAACTTTAGATTTAGATAGAATTATTCGTCTTATGGACGGATGGGTGAGCAGGATTGGGCGACGGACTGAAGACTAAAGGCTGAAGGCTGAAGCTTTGATTAATGACAGATTTTTGTTGTTGAAAAGTTTAAAGGAACAACGAGGGTTTCAATGGTGAAGAGAAAAAAAAATTCTTTACGTTTAATCAAATAAAAGAAAAGTCAAAAAGTTAAATTAAATTAGTTAAAAAATAATTATTGATTAATACTTAATAATAATAAGTTAACAAGTAAAAAAAATTCAAAAAATACAAAAGAGAATGTGCCTTGTAGTAAAGAAATGTTGCCTGCAGTTCAAAAAAAAAAAAAAAAAAAAAAAAAGGCAGCCTGCAGTTCAAAAAAAAATCAAAACAAAAATCTGTTAGTGGGGTTTGATCCCGCGAACTTAGACACAAAAATCTGATCGCCTATCACTGGCACCAGAGATCACTTTTGTTCACTAGGTGGCATGTTTATTATTTATACATATGGTTATATATATACCTATATAAATAGTGTTTCTGTCGAAACTCGTGGGTGGCGTGGCACCCCACGGGACTTAATAGATCCGCCCCTGGATGGAGACGATAAACAGATAAAGCCAAATATATACTTACAACCAAATAAGGAGTATGTGTTTTGATTTAGTTTGTCATTGTCCTCACAATTTCACTCGTGACTGGTACACGAGAATTTGTCTGAAATTGGGCTCTCTTTTTAATTTGATATTCAAATAAAAATGTAAAGTCGTTATTGTTTTTGAATTGCACCCAAATGCAAAAAAAATAAAAATGCATTTCTTCTTATTAGGCAAGCCTAGCTCGACATGAAAAGTCGAAGGCTAGTTAATTAAGTATTTTCTTCGTTTTAAAATACTTTGTCATATTTTGTTCTGCAAATTTCTTAAGAAAAATATTACTAGAAAGAAATTTAACTAAATTGTCCTTATTTACTTCTCTTTATTTCATATTTATCTCTTTTGCACCATATTAATATATCTCCTTATTTTCTTACTGCGGATAATTAAGGGTGGAAATAAACAACTAAAATGACAAGTACTATAGATCATCTATTTGTAAGAATTTCAAGTTAACGCGTGTTTTTTTTTTGGATTAAAAATCCAACAGAAAGTACTCGTGATATTCTTCACAATATATTTTTTGATACTTTAATTTTCCACAGCGAAATAAACTTTCCAGTACATCTCAATTATTATAGCAAAAAGGAAGGTCGTGTACCACAATTCGAGTTAAAATTAAAGAAGAAGGTGACACCATATAGAAACGATTGCATGAGTGTTGGGACCATAGTCTTCATGAATTCTTTTATTTGATCATTATAAATCATCACTATCACTTCCATTTTTAATTATTATTTTTCGAAATATCAATTTTTTGGAGACCTTTTGTTTCTTGTAATGCATGTGACACACTACACTAACTGGAATATTACTTTCTTGGTCTT